CACAAGCCTCGAAGAATGGTGTCAAAACTGGAGGATTAAAATAAATTCTAATAAATCCCATCAAATCACCTTTACCCTTCGACGTAAACCTATGACCTCATGTCCCACAGTATCCTTTAATAATACCCCACTTATCCCTGTTGAACAAATCTGATACCTTGGACTTCACTTGGACAAACGTCTAACTTGGAATCCTCATACCAGACTGAAACGACAAGAAACTGCTCGACGTTTCCGACTACTCCAACACTTACTAGACAAACGCTCTAAGCTTCCAGTTAATTACAAAAGACTTATATACATGACTACAATAAGACCTATTTGGACTTACGGAGTTGAGCTTTGGGGCTCCACTAAGCCATCGAATTCCTCTCATATCCAATCCTTACAATCCAAAATCCTTCGAAAAATCCTCAATGCTCCTTACTTTGTCACCAATAAAATAATCCATAATGACCTTAATGTTCCTTATGTTTCCGATTTGGCCCAATCCAGATACCAATCCTTCCATAATAAACTTCAGAGCCATCCGAATCCTCTCGTCTCTAACCTTGCTTCCTCTTCTATTCCTGATAACCCTCCGAGGCGTCTGAAAAGAAGATGGCCTCGAGATCTCTTATTGTAAATACATTTTGTTTTTAGAGTGCTACCAGTGGGTAGTTTCTCAACAAGTCATTTCATGTTATTATTTTCTGTTATCAAATTTACTTAATGTATTTAATTTTTTAATACAGTTGTGAATATAAAGAATAATAAAAAAAAAAAAAAAATCATCGAAATCGATTGGATATTTCTAAATTTAAAATAATCTGTGCCAATCAAAGGAGAAAAGTGCGTTCAAATATTTTTTTAAAGGAGAAACAGAGTTGAGATTTGTATTTCGCACCTCGAATGACCTTAGAGAACGAATTTTATAGAAATAGAAATTTTTTTTTCTACAAATTAAATCCAAGGCTCCCCTCCCTTAAATTAACCCAACCATTATTAGCAAAGATACAGCCATATATTTTGGTTTATTATTATGAATAAACTAATGTGATTCGACTGAGAAAAAGAATACCGTATCTTTTTTCTCATAATACATTATTACTTTATTTATTAAATTAATTTATTTTTATATTATATTGTCAACTGGTATAAGGTATTGTTACTGATAGAAAAGTAATTAATGGAAGTGGTTTAATGCCGATGTAATGTTTATTAATTATTTTATTAAATTTTTCAAAAGTATTGCTAAATTTCCATAAGTCCTTGAGGACTGCGAAAATGTAAAACAGGCAGAACTGGCTGGATTGGCAAGGCGGGAAATGAGGCTCGTGCAGTACCAGTACAATAGGAGGTTGTTGACTCGGTTTATTGCCGTCAATAAACTTGCTGGGATATATTCTGTCTGCTGGTATCCACAGCTCTCTGGTGTTTGTCTTGTGGCTTGTGTTGGCTTCAGGAGTCTTGTGTTGCCATATCAAAAGCGTCTTTTACTTTGCGATTTATTATCTTACGATGGAGGATACTTGAGTTCTTTGTAAAAATTAAATTTGATTCCACATTTCTAAGCCTGGCCCCTTATCATTTGAACTAATTTATACTAGTTTGTAAATATAATTGCTGATTAAACAATGTTGATAATCTCATATCATGAGTTGTGCTCATTCTATCAAGTTGTGAACTAGTATATTTTTGTAGAAAGTTATTGACCTAAAACGCTTTAGATTCCCCATACTATTCCTCGATGCAGGTATTTCTAGAAGGGAGTTCCATGCTGCAAGTTGACGAGGGGAGCAGGAAATTTTATTGTTTTTATTTTTATTTTTGAGGGAGCACATTTCGACGGGGTTATGAATTTTCGGAATGAAAAGTTTCAAAGAATAATATTAGGTAGAGGATGCATGGTGTGTAATTGTATATAACCTGCTATTTTTTTAATGCTCCTTTCGCTTACACTGTTTTTAAGAAGAGGAGAGCAATAAAATATCTTAGAAGGGGTGAAAGAAGGTACATGCTCCATCGACCTGGAGAGGGATGGACATCACTACCTCGATAAGTTTATTTAATATATTTGCCTCGATAAGTTTAGTCTATTATATATTTTATTATTAGTTATTCTATTAGCTGTACCACTACAACCAATGGAGGGATTTGGTTTTAGTATTATGTAAGAAGTGGTGTTCCTATCCCAAGAGTTACACAAGGAGGATTATTTGGCACAAGATCCATCTTGGACCTTCATGTTTTTCTTCCCATTGAGTACCGACTTTATTGACTTCATACATGAAATAACAGCTCCTGAAAAGTTACACAGTTATATGACACAGCCGAACTCTAATCCAGACCAATGTCTCACTCAATTTTAAACTCCACTTCACAGTATTACGTTCATAACCTTTCAAATTTTATTTTGCACTGATTCATGTAAAAGTTCTGCGCTATAAATCTCGAAGGTTTCGGTTGAAAGGGTATCCTAATGAACCTCATTTCCATTAATGTTTTTGCATTTACATGTTATGCAATTCTCTCCGAATAAAAAAAGGAAAAGGCATAAACAATGAACTATGAATCGAAAGATTTAATTTTCATGTTAATGAGATGTAAATTTTCCGAAGGCGGTCTCTGAGGGAATCTTGAATGAAAACAAATATGAATAGTACTTCGTTATAATTCTCGTAAGTTGTTCGGTAACTTTTTGTTGTACTGAAAATGTCACGAAGGTCAAGTTCGCATGTTTATACAAACAACCTTATGTTACCCTTTGTTTTGTTTTCAACTCCTTTATTGCTTATTTGGAGCGTTCATTAGTAATCCACCGTTTTCTCTCTCTCTTTTTTATTCTCTTCAAATATGCTTATTCATTTGTTTACTAATAGGTTGTACATATTATTGGAAAGATATATTTTTTTATTCTACTCATTTGAAACAGGGATTGGAGAATTTGGAATTAAAAGAGGAATGTCTAATTTAGATCAAGTCTTCAACAAAGCGAATGTTGAAGTCTTTATGGATAATTTTGTTTGTGACATAAAAAGGATCATTTAGAAGTTTTCGGAGAATTTTGGACTGTAAGGATCGGATAATGGAAAGAATTCGATGCTTTTGTAGATCCCCAAAGCTCGATTCAATACGTCTAAATGTACCTTATGATAGTAGTGTATATGAATTTTTTTTATTGAATATTTGAAGTTTATAGTTTTTCAAGTAAGTTTTAAACTATTTGGCAGTTTATAGTCTTTTAAACCTGGTATGAGGATAAATAAATATAATCCATATAATTATTCGGGATTCCAATGAAATACTGCGTTTCATTCTACAAAGCTAGCTCATTTCATAATACTGATTCGGATACATGGATACAATTAACCGTGTTTATGCTCTGGTTATCTCATTAATTTCTATGACGCAATATTTTCTTCATAAGCATTGTTATAAAACTGCTGGTATGTAAATGTAATATTTAACATGCATACTTTTTATTGTATTTAAATATGGGCCGTTTGATCCATGACAAGAATTTCTTCTGAAGGAATAAGGTCACTCATCCTTGTAAATATTACGATTCATTATTGGAAACCAGGGAGGCTGCACTCCGAAATAGGGGTGTTTTCACTCTGGAGATTAGCAATCTTTGTTTATTTAATTAGGTACTAAAAACTCATAAACATTCGTTTGCTTTCCACTTGAATCGTAAGATAATTTGATCGCGAAATTGAGAAAAATCTTGGCTTACAAAAATAGTGAGTCGTTTGTCATGATTTCAGTCCCCAACATGTGAAAATAACGAGGTGATACAGGTCAAATGGCTCAATATTTTTATAAGCCACCTTTTTTATCGATTTTGTGATCAAATTATCTTACTTTTCAATTGGGAAGCAAAAGACAAATGTTTATTGGTTTTTAGTACCTCAAATAATTAATTAGTTTAATTAAAAAATACCCACTTTCTGAGAATTTTCGTTGATAAATAATTTGTAGGTTATGAAAAAGATAAAGCCAATTACAATTTTTTATACGGTTAATAAGATAAGATAGGTTTTATAGATGTTAATAATTTGAGAAACGGGGGTTTGTATCATTATAAGTTCTGAAGAAATAAGCTCACATGAATAATAATTTGTCACATAATTTTTAATTGAACAGTGATAAAAAAATCATATCAATAATCAAAACGAAAATATCCTAAAATATAATAATATTGAATTAATACATATTTTTTTTTAAATTTATTTATTGAGTATTACAACAATCTGTCTCTTGGACAAAATATATATTAACAAAAAAAAAAAAATTATCCTAAACCATCTATGGTATTTGACTAATTACGGACCCCCATTTTTAATGTGAACCATTTATCATTTTAAACTGACAGAGTTTTTATAAAAAAACATTCAAATATTGAAGTATGGATCAACTTCCTTCTGCTACATCTTTATTTCTTTATTATTATTAAAATAATTTTATTTTTGTGACGTTTTATTTTTTATTATCTGTATAGTATTTAAAAATATTTATATTAATTATTACAAAATGTTAAGCGGTTTGGCATGACCTACACCGCCAAATTGTCAAAATAACGAGGTTATGTAGGACTGAGGACCCAATATTTTTGTAGTCCAAATTTTTTATCGATTTCGTGAACAAATTATCTTACGGTCCATGCGGAAAGTAAATGGGTATTTACGAGCTTTTAGTATCTAATTAATTAGAAAAAGTTGCCGACCTTCAGATTGGAAACGTCCCAATTTCAAGAGTTTTCGTAAATAAAATAGTTGTAGGTTACGATGAGATGAACTCATTCACGAAGTTTCAGGCGGATGTTAATTTGATAAAAAAAGGGTCTGTACCGTGGACCACAAGTTTTATCTTTTTTTTTTTATTCATATTAATTTTGTTTTTATTACATTATCCAACACATACACCTTGGAGAAATTTTACAGAACCATAAATTGTCTTGACATGTTTCTGTCTTGTTTTCATTTTGTTTCTTTCTAACCTTCCTTATTGAGTTTAGCTTGTTGTCGTTTATCATCATGCTTGATGCGCTGTTCGTTCTTTGAAACGTGACGAAACCCTTTCCTCCCCCAAAGATAATGATGAAAGTCGGTTGAGGATGTGGAAATAGCCCAGAAAGCAGAATGCAGGTACCTGAAGCATAAAGGAACAGGTGGTTCCTGGGGCAGGTAAGAAAGGTCCCATTGTGGAGTTCCCACATACTCCTGGAGGTCAGGGCTACTCCGCCGACTGCGCTATCGATTCATGCTGATGGCTATTTAGATATGATTCGATTGTGTAAGTGTATCGATTGTCGACCTTTCCTAGGGTTTCGGAGAATGTATGCGGAACCTTTTATTTTAAGGTTGTTCTGAAATAAGTTTCTTAATCTTGATTATAATATCAATAAAAAAAAAAAATAATAAAAGAACTTTACTGCAGATGGTATTATTGATAAAAAAGAGGAAATGTACATATTCTCTCGGATTATTCATTGGAAAAGGAACTTGTTTATATAATCTTTGCGATATGAAGATTGAAGTTAAACTTAATAATATGCAAGGATTTTCAGCATCGAAAAGATTGATCATTATTCAGGAGAAATGATTGTTTATTTCAGTGATGGCGAATACATTTTTAATTTCGATTTACCAAATTTAGGAAGCATTTTTAATAAGTTGTGGACACTTTTGAAGATACCGACATTATGGTGATGATTAGTATAACATTTTTGAAATATTTATAATTTCTCGATCGCAAAGCTTGTTATCAGTTGGAACTTATTTTCTAGAAACCGAAAATCAGAAACTGCAAAACTAATATTGTTCTTGGTGTTATAAGAATGATAAGATTAACGCCTTTTAGTCTTCGAATATTTCCTGGAATTTTTTAATCAACGAAAGATGCTGAGAGCAAGATAGCCGAGCGGGCTAACGCGTGTAGAAACCGCGTTGCTCGGCAATCTGATTAACTATGGGTTATGTGATAAAATAATTACGAGTTCACATCCGGGGGAGGGGGGCTTTTAAATCTGGCGTCAATACTTCGACCTTATCTATGATTCGAGAAAAATCCCCGTTAGGCTAAAATGCGAAGAAGGGGTGGAAAAGAAGATGATTTGAGGCACCCATACTGATTTGAAAAAAAAAAAAAATCAATGTGATCCTTTAACCGATTCCTTATCAAGTTTAAACAAAGTGCAATGTTCGAAAACCCTGGATTTTTTTAATGTTATTATTTATGTTATACATGCAGAAGGTATTTTCATGTAAAATATTATCAATAAATTAATTTTATGTTTGGCTTTAACTAACTCTAGTTCTAAATCTAAATTAATTTAAATTTATAAACTACACTTATGACGTAAATTATAATTATTATATGAATTCTTGATTGGAGTTGACTGGCTCATTTTTATTTATTTCATTTCTACCCAAAATTGTAAATAAAAAAATGAAAAATATTAAGGTCTCGCTTAATTATCTATTATCCATTATAATTATTAAAATTTTGAAAAAACAAAATAACTTATTTTATCCTAAGATTTTCATTGACAGAAACTTTTTAGCTTAAACGATCACTCTTTTTCACTACTAAATGTAACGTTTTTCTTGCTTTAAAAGATGTGTTTACAAACCATACTTCTAGAACAAGTCTTAACTCAAAATCGGGAACTTTCCTATTCTTCAATTATTTTCATTTCATTATTTTTTTAAAATTTCCATATTAAATAAGGACTTGTATATTTATCTTAACGAAATGTTGATTAGAGAAAAGTTAGCTGCTAGGTAAGAAGAAACGACTGACCCCTTTCCCTAAGCGATGTTGCTATTGATGAACCCTGTGTTTGGTGACGGTGGTACAAAACCATCAATGATTAATATTGACAGAGAAACTACAAGTGACATAGCATCTTTCAGGACATCCGACTTTGCCAACATCTGCGATGATATTGCTCTTCTAATTTAGGACTCGGTCGTTTGTCTTTTCTTTATTGCTGATTGGAATAGAACGAAATGAATGAAAGAACAGAAAAATTGAATATACATTTTTTTTTTTATGCTACTTACTATAAAAGAAATGCTCAATTTTCAAGGAAATATATCAGTGATAGTCTGTGTTAATGGATATGATTAAGAGACTCTTATAAAGTAGGCAACAATTATGATTTATTTTTTAAAATTGTCTTGCAATAGCTAGTATATCTATTGATATCTTTAGATCTAAAATACGACTTATTTTTATGATTCATTTTTAGAAAGTGTACAAAATAATTAACGTTATCTAAAATTATTGCCAATGATCTGACCAATAATTATTTTCAGATATTATGTCTCAATGAAACGTGTCTCGATTCTGTTTTACTTTTCCTCAGATCAGGTCATGATCTTAAATTACGAAATACTTAATCAAATTCTGTCAATTCAAGATTTATTAGGTATCCGTGGGTATTATTTATTTATGTATTTCGAGTTATAAATAAGTAATGTTTTAATATTATAGTGTTTTTTATGTAGTAATTTATTTTTTAACTTATATTTGTGTACCCCTATCTGTTGCTGAGCTATGGATAATAACCGGATGTTATATTAGTTAACAAAGGTACGACAGGCACGAGAGAGGTGGTTACACTTCGGCATCAATTCCTAACTTCACCTATTAAAAGAATTTGCTCTAGGAGATCCCTTGACCCGCCCCTTTTTCGTTTTACAACTTTCTTCGGATGTTTTCTGGCATATATATCGCCTTTTGTACAAAGTTGTTGGTATTTCAATGAAGTTAGTCGCGAGGTTTTTTATATGTTGTCGGAATGTGATCTTGTACTATGGTCTTATGTCTAAGCCTGTATTTAATGTTTTTATCTTCGTGTACCAAATTGAACAAGTAGTGATTCTTAAAGATTTTCAATTGGAATCTTTGTATTTTTTTTGATCTGAGTCTTTGTAGCTATTCCATAGATTTATATAGAATAAATCCGTACTAGAATTAATAATTAAGAGTAAATATTTAGTCTTTGTCTAATTTTCAAAGTTGATTCTTTGAGTAATAGAGATTTGAATGAATTTATAATTTTATTGAAGTGAAGGATGGTTGAGCGGATCAGTCAAATTGAAATGGTAAAAAAAATATAATTTTATTTATTCTTGCATTCGCCGACGTTTCGGCCCGAAGTTCAGGCCTTCATCATGACTGGGAAAAGAACCAAATAATAATAGGTATCTTCAATAACATAGAATAGTCATTGTATGTTGAATATTCATAAAAAACAGTAAAACAGTTTTACACTTTATTCTAGATTACCATTTTCATTTCTTATGTTACCTTATATTTTATTATGCTTATTTCATTGGTCCGTGCTTTGTTACAGTTATTATTATTTATTTCTTAGTTCTCTGTTACTGTTATCATTCTACCTACTTTGTTTTACTTTAATGTTCATTCTATCTACTTCATTTTACGTTAAGTTGTTCTACTAAAAATTATTAGTCTATACCTATCACCTTTTTTAATCTTAATTCTGTATTATTCAATGTTATTATACCTATTATTATCTGGTTCTTTTCCCAGCCCTGATGAAGGCCTGAACTTCGGGCCGAAACGTCGGCGAATGTAAAAATAAATAAAATTATTTATTTTTTATCATTTCAATTTGACTGATCACCCCACTCGTCCTTCTTTTCAATTATTCACTACAGTCAACCATAAACCCACAATTATAATTGTATTATATGTTCTGATAATGTGAGTAGTTTTACACACAAGCATCCCTCCTCGATACCCATCAGCGGCGACTCAATGGGTTGCATATATGCCTATGCTTGTATTAAATTATATTTAAAAAAATATAAAATTTCACTCTTACTAAATTGTTTTCAAGCAATTTTGACTGTTCATTTATTTGACTTTCAATGATTATGTCTATTTATATTTTTATGGTGGTATTATTTCTGTTTTATAATTTATTATAAGATGGGCTCGTTGTTTGTTTGTTTCGATGTCTAGGCGCAAAACATCCAGGTCATGAGCGACCGATCAACTAAATAACATCATGTAATACTATTTGGATGGTTAGTACAAAAAAAAAGAAAGAAATAAAATAAAAAATTAATAAAGAAATGGATTGATAGAATAAAATAAATAATTAAGGGTAATAATAGACATTTATAGGTAATAAGATGTATAAAAAATGTATAAATAAATAAACTTTAAAAAATAGCAGTAGAATCAATAAATGAATTGAGATTAATAAACAAATGAATTTAAAATGAAATGAAATCAAGTGAAAAAATTAATAAAAAAATAGTGATAAGAGAAAATAGAATAAAAATAAATAGATTAAAAAAAATTAATAAATAAAAAAATAAATAAAAAAAAGCCTGTCAAATGTGTTTTTTAAGTCTTTCACTATCCAGGAACTTGATGACTTTGGTAACGTTTTCTTCTTGATTTCCCAGGGATGCTGATATATTCTGGGGTATTCCAAAATCTTTTAATCTTGAGGTGTAAAAAGGGCATTCTTCCAAAATATGTTTTATAGTTAGTGATTGGTTACACTTTTGACATCTGGGGATAGAATCTTTTGTTATGAGGTGGAGGTGAGTCAGTCTAGTATGTCCGATCCTCAGCCGCGTAAGGACGACCTCTTCTCTACGAAGATGGGTTCGTAATTAAATATCTAATTGTGTTGTCTTAGCAATAATTTTTTTTTAGTTCATTCGCCATATACATAACAGATATTCGTTCTGCTAAATTCGAAATTCTGTAATGTAATTGATGTAAAGGATAATGAAGCATTAGTAAGGAACTGTGTCTCCGAGAAACTGGACGATTTTTCTATTATTAGAAGACTACATATACAATTTTGTATTCATTGGTGTACATAATTATTAAACATTAATTAAATTCGTATTTTATGCGTGTTTTCCACAAAACTCGTAAAAGTTCCTAGCGCATTCCTCGAAACTTTCCTTGGTAGTTTTCAACACTCCTTTAGAAGTGCTTTTCCATCGACACCTAGATCCTCTATTTTCTCTTCCCAAACAACGGCACATTCCACTAATAATCGTGCCAAATATTAACATATAAAGACGTTGGGGATGTAGAAGGAGGTCGCTCGTGAGTGGGAAAGCCCTTGGCTCACCGACTGTTTGGGACCGTTTTGTGCTCGTGTGAAAAACGCTCCATGAAGGGTTCGTTCCTGAATGGTGCCTCCGTTCGTGATGAGTTCCATAGTTCGTGATTGTTCTTTCCCACACTCCCCTGTTCGGTCGTTAATTAAAACCATCGCTGAGGGAAATTGGAAAGGTCCGAGCTATAGCTCCCAGTTATTGACTAATTTTATTATTTCGTAGGGGATTGTGGCCTCAATGAAAACTATGGCTTTGATTGGGCGAATCACTTATGGCCTCCATTTAATATTTTAATCCTCCATTGTTTGAGGGCAACAGCTGCTTAATTGTTGATTGCATATGGAAAAGTATAATGGTTATTGGCAGCAGTTCCTTTTAAAATTTCTCCGTTAATCTGTTCAGCAATGATCGTTTGAGAAAAAAAAAATGGCCATGATTTTAAAACAGCAAAACGTTTTTCAAAAACTAATCCAAAAAACAGTTGTATTGATCTAATTAGCTGAGATGTAATAGAACTGCATGCAGATAACTGGAAACAAATCCACCTAAAAAGGATTTAGATACCGTAAGATGGGGTAACTTTGAGACTGGGTGAATAACTTTGGTACAGTGGTTAAATTTAATTTGTGGTGAACACTGCAACCATTTACTCTGGAATCAACTTACTCACTGTCTGCACAGATATTATAAATTTTCCAACCACTAAAATAACTTTACTCAAAAATGTTGAAATCTGAGTTAGTCATTCTGTCAACTAAAACGCTCAAATAATCCATTACTTCAACATAACCATTATGAACTATGCATATTTATTTAGCTTATTCTGTCAACTGAAAGGCTTAAGTTAAACTTATATCTAGTTATAACATAAATTTTTGTATCGATTTTTTAAAAATATATATGTTATGGGGCTCTTGAATCACTTCTAAATATACACACTTAATATTCATAATCTATCAGGGTTCAGTTGGTGATGATATTTAAAAGACTGTAACTAACCGGTTTTTGTTGCAAAACGTTGGTAATGAATTGCTTCCATTTTGAACTTTTACTTTCAAATCCCTCTCGCACAACACTGTTTTAATACCAACTTATCAGTCATTATAATATAAAAACGTTCCCTTTTGAATGATTACTTTCGTGTATGTATGGATTTAGAAGGTAGTAGCCGATTGAGATTATTATATGACATTTTTAAGAAGCAGCCATCTTTAATATTAGTTATTATTTTTGTTTAAATTTAACTATTTGTTGTATTCGCTTTGAACTTGAATACGTTAATTCTTTTTGCATTTTAAATGTTATTTTTCTATATTTTTTTTTAAATAATATATTTTTTGTGTTGTTATGCCAATAATTTTTCTGTTTTTCTATACGCTTGACCGAACTCTAAGTCAAGTAGATAGTAAAAGAAAGATAGTAAAATAATTGTAAACCGTAAATCCGAATTCAGGAGTCCCAAGCAGACTTCACTGAGCCTGCCATTTCAAGTTGGAATCTTCAATATTAATCCATTGGGCAGACTTTAAGAAAAACATTTTTTTTTTTTTTTTCAAGAAATGAAATAAACCTAAAATCTTTGGGATGTAGCGGTGCAGTTTATTATATTTTTAAATTTTTTTTATTTCGAGACATAAAAGGAGTTATTTATCCAGATTAGTGGCTCAGACGAAACTTGATCATCCATTACTGGTAGTGTTTCAATTTTACTTTTATTTTTTCCAGTAGAAAAGTATTGCAGTCGTAGAATATTTCGAATCCGTGGCTTCAATGGAAATAGACGTTATGAGATAACCTGAATTAAAAAAAAATAAACAAGTTTCGCAAAATGGTGTGTAAACAGCCTAGCTCGACAAGAAAAAAAAAAAAAAGTACGAACCTGAACTTATGTATTTAAGATAAATATATGCCTGGGACATTACAGCACTGAACTTATATATTCATATTTTTACAATTTTCTCGAAAACGACTCTTAACGCTTTTAATTAAACCCGTATATTGATGTAAAATCAAGTGTTATTGAATGTCAGATGTTATCTTGATTGAAACAGTTTAACAGGGCTAATGCCAAATTCCCGAAATTTCTTTCTTTAAAGTACTCCTTTAATTCTGTTTATTTGAAGTAATTTACCGCTTATAATTGTAACCAGTACCTAATAAAATTGACAAAATATGGTTAAGTCTAAATTATGATAGAATTAGATTATTTATTTAAGAAAAAATAAGGGTTAAAAGTAGACTGAAACTGGATATTATGTTATATCTAAGGTATAATACTTATATCTACTTAAATTAATTATTTTAAGAAATATTCCAAAATCCCTATTTCCATTTTTTATTTCAACATTTTTAAGATGTGTCTGATCAACAAACTATTGTTTTTGAACATTTATATTTTTCCTTCAAAATACATTTTCAGTTCGGCCATAATTTTTTTTTGTGTTCAATTATTGCTTTTAATGAATATTATACCGTCTATAATTTTTATTTTGTTAAAAATTTACCTTTATCCTTAAATGAAATAAAACATTTTTAATCCAAGTAATTTTTGAAAATTTTATTTATGAAATTTCGTGAAAGTATATTGAGTATGAAATAATTATTTTAATGACAATAATTCGGCTTAAAAAAAAGTCCACTTTATTTTTTTATTGATAGCTATTTATTTATTTATTGACACCCTATCCCTGCAATTTAAATAAATTATCATAAAATATCATAGGTGTTCTTTGTATGCCGTAACGCCATTCTCAATACCCCCAAAAGTCAGTAAACATTTACATACCTCTTCAGATGGCCAGGAAATCCATTTCTTCTTTTGTAGGCTTTCATAAATAAGTTATGACTCCCGAAAATGCGATTGAAGGTCTCAATTTTTTTTTATTAACTGTACTTAAAACTTTCTGTTATGACTTTCATATATGAATACTTCCTCATTCCTTAGTTTATATTTATTTACTTATTTAAGCCATTGATTTGATCTCTTGACAGAAACCTCTTAAGCGCCTCGATACGGATCAATCTGCTATGGTTTCTTAATGAGAAAAATGTCGCTTATTTTATTCCGTGTTACTTTTTTTCTTTAATTACTTTCTTATTAGCAAAGTGTTGTACAGCAATTATTCTTGTTGTAAATCAACCTTTTTTTTTTGTTGAAAAAGGAAACCATACTTGAATGAATAATGTATTTTAATTAAACATTCACAATTAAGACCTTACGCTTGGTTTAGTAAAATTTTCTCTCATGGCTGACATTCGAAATTCTCTGAAAGCCTCTCATGTTTTAAATAATAAGAGTAAAAAAAGAAGTTATATTTTATTAATTATGAATTTAAGTAGTTGCAAGATTGAATAGTAGTATAAATAAATACTTTAAAAAATAAAAGTAAAGCGATAAATTCAATGAGACAAATAAAACAGAAAATTCATTTAAGTTATTTAATGTAAAATATTTTGAATTAAAATTCTTTTGTTAGATTTTTTTTTCTAAACCTGTCCATTTAAATTAAGCTTTAGCTCAAAAAGGCACGAAATAAATGAGTTTCTAACTTTTCTATAGACAGTTTAATTAAATCCTTTTTTCCACTTATAAGCCGAACGTATTTAGGTTTTTATTGTAGAAAGGGGTAAGCTGAATAAACTAGGTAAAACGGACGCTTAAAGAGCGAAATAATTAAATTTTAATTAATACATTAGGTATATTTAGAAACCTAAAATACATACAGCGTCTTTAAACATTGAATTAAAAATTCCTTAAGGGAGATTCAGAGGAATTTATTGTTTTCACAATCCTTCATATTACTGTACTTGAAAGCTATTAGTGTTGCCCAAAATCGGTCTTCGTCTTGCTCTTAGGAAGACCAAGACCGCCTGATTTGCAATACCATTACCAAGGAATATTATTTTCATTAGTGTAAAAAATTAAAGAGTGAAACTACGTCATCCTATGCTTGAGTAACAATCACAAATTTATTATTTAAAATAAATATAAATTATATATATCTTTTTTAAAAGTATATCTAATTTTATTTAAGCCAGGATTCACTATCAATTAATTAAGTTGTATGGTAATGATTAAATTAGATGGATTAATAATATTATCGTATGACTTCCTGAATTAAAATTGTTTTTATTCTGTTTATTATACCTAGATTTTGTGTCTTGATGTTTTCATTTATAAAATTAATACCGTTATTTCACTAACATTTTATTTATTTTTATTTATCTAGACAAAGTTTCGGCCAATACTAGGGCCATTTTCAAGTCTAACTTGAATCCTTTACCAAATCTCTATATTGAATGTCATTTTAATTTTATTTTCTGAGAAAAATTTTAACTCAAGTGAGACTTGAAAACTATCCTAATGTTGACCGAAATGTTGTCTAAATAAATAAAATGTTGATGGAATAACGGCCTTAATTTATATAAATAAAATTGTTTTCTTTTACTGTGTCATTTTTAAAATTCCGTAATTAAGTTACAAGAATGTTGTTTTATTTTGACCTTGTATGTAAAACTTGATTTACCGGTCCCTTTGATGAGGAAAAATAATTAACTCCTTAACCGCAGAGATAATTTACCGCTAGTATTATCTGTGAAATGAGGAATGCATCGAGGAACCATCGGAAGACGAATTGTATTTTTATTATTCAGTGCCTGATCCCCGAACTATTTTATCTAGATTTAATGACCATGGATTCTTATCTGACCTTCCGATGTTTGTTTGTTATTTTTTCATAAGCATTTTATATCTATTTGCTTTGTGTCTGCAAGCTTTCAAATACTAATTGGTTATCAAAATGGTAATACATTGCTAAAATATAATTAGCAAAGATGACACAGTTTATGACAGCTAATAAACAAAACATAAAGAAAAACACGCTTTGCAGAAGTGAACTACTGATTCATTCTAACATTTAAATTTTATAGCTTACAGTCATTGTTAAATATTTGTATAAACAGCTTTGAATTTTATCACATATATTTTGGAGTTCTGGCACTGGCTAAATTCTCTATTCAAGACATGAGTGTATGTGGCTAAAGCGATCTTGATCAATCTCCACTGGGTTTAGTACCATTGACATTGATTGAGAGAGTAGCGCAGGGATCTCCTGTAGTCCTTCTTTTTCCTCTATAGTTGGAAGGACAAACCTGC